TTGATGATGAGGATGATGAGGATGAGGGTGATGACGATGCTGCTGCTGATGATGTTGCTGATGATTATGCTGCTGATGATGATGGTGATGCTGCTGATGATGATGAGGATGAGGATGAGGATGAGGATGATGGTGATGATGTAATGATGATGCTGATGCTGGTGATGACGATGATGATGATGATCATGATGATGATGATGATGATGATGATGATGCTGATGATGATGATGATGATGATGATGATGATGATGATGATGATGATGCTGATGATGATGATGATGATGATGATGATGATGATGCTGATATGATGATGATGATGATGAGATGCCTGATGATGCTGATGATGATGGATGATATGACTGATTATGATGCTGATGATGATGATGATGATGATGATGATGATGATGATGATGATGATGATGATGATGATGATGATGATGACGATGATGATGATGATGATGAGGATGATGATGCTGATGATTTTGATGAGGATGACATACATAGCAGGCCACAGACAGCGTCGTGAGGCTTACGATTAATTCAGTCATGCTTGCGTGCACTGCTGCATGCAGCCGTCGACTCGGAAGCAGCCGTAGCAGACACATCATGACCGCCCTGCGTGCCCTTGCCGCTGTTCCTGTTGATGGCCATCGGGCCCTGCTCGAGGACGTGTCCGTGGTGTCTGATGTACTCGACGAGTTCGTTTTGCTGCTGCTCCGTCCGCGGAAGGTGGCCTCGGAAGTGGATCAGGAGTTCGTTCCGCTCCTGGGGACTGCAGTTCAGTGCGTTCAGCAGCGTCCAAGCGTAGCATTGCGGCCCCATGTTGAAGTTGCCTAGTGTCGAAGCTCGGCGCCGAACGACCTCGCACCTGGACAGTGTCTGGTCTATGTCCTCATGGCCCTTCCTGTGGAATCCGAGGAGGTCGTTCGTCGCCCGAAGCTCGCTCTCATCGCCCAGCGGTACGGGATCCCCGTCAGCTGCCTCGCGCCGTTGCCGTCGACGGGGTCCGCGAAGGCCCCGTCTCGCAGCTGGTCCCCAGGGATCTCCCGTGCCAGGGACCTCGCCGCGCCGCCGAGCCGCAGAGCCACGGCCGAGCCCTGCTGCTCTGGCAGCACCTCACGCGCAGCCGTCGCCGCCCACATCGTCACGTCTTGGAGCCAGAGCCTGAAGGAACTCCTCTGGACTCCATGCCGGTGGTACCTTCAGGGAGCTCATCACCTCCAACTGCAGAGTCTCCATCTTGTCGACCGCTTAGCAGCTGACGTGACTGGCCCCGAAGGTGTCGTCGAGCGTGGAGCTGTCCACGCTGAAGCGGAGGAGGATTTCCTTTGTGCCGAAGCTGTCCGGCAAGGAGTCCTCGTTCGTAGTCTCGAGGGTGTTGCACTCAGGCTCGGTGAGCACCACCCTCGTCCTGTAGACCGCCTCGGCGATCTCCTGCGCAGTGGCATCGCCAGAGCCTCAGTCCAGTCGTGGACCGAGTCTCCGCTACCAAGGAGGGTGAGGGGTGATGATATGATGCATGGGGGGTGGGGAGGGGCGGGAAGGGTGAAAATGAAAAAGGAGAAGGAGAAGGAGCGGAAGGAGGAGGAGGAGGAGGAGGAGGAGGAGGAGGAGGAGGAGGAAGAGGAGGAGACAGTCCTCCACGTCGCGGCTCAGGCGGAGCCGCAATCCATGTCCGCCGCGCCCTCGGGCGCAGGCCAGCCCGCGCGGCCGGCCTCTGTCAGTGGGGCTTGAGCCAGAACGCCGGCGAGACGGCGTCGACGTCCAGCTCGCTGCCCTGCTCTCTCCCCACGTCCAGCCCCCAGATCTCGACTGAGGAGGAGGAGGATGAGGATGATGAGGAGGCGGAGGATGAGGAGGAGGAGGAGAAGGAGGAGGAGGAGGAGGAGAAGGAGAAGCAGGAGGATGGATGGAGGAGGAGAGGAGGAGGAGGAGGAGAGGAGGAGGAGGAGGAGGAGGAGGAGGACCAGGAGCAGGAGGGGAGGAGGATGAGGGGAATGAGGAGGAGGAGGATCAGAGGAGGAGGTGGAGGAGGAGGAGGATGAGGACGACGATCAGATGAGGAATACAAGCGGAGGGGAATGCGCAGGAGGAGGAGGAGCAGGAGGAGGAGGATGAGGAGAAGCAGGATCAAACTATGATAATGAGCAGCAGCATTTTAAGCTGATTAACAGTAATACTATAGTAAGATACAGTCTGTTCACACTCAGGGTATACATACTAATCATACTACCACATGGACCTGTAGTAGTAGTGACACGTAGTAATGACACTACTGGTAACAACCATGATAACAGTACGACTGCACGCAAAACGGTTACCGCGCATACTAGTAAGTCTAATACCAACAACAACACGCACACTAATAGCAGGAAGAGGAACATGAAGAAACAGAGGATGCTGATGATGCGGATGAGGAGGAAGCGGAGAAGGAAGCGGAGGAGAAGGAGGATGATGATGATGAGGAGGATGAGCGTGGCAGTTCCGACCATCGGACCCATTGCCAATCGGCTGCGAGCAACGAGTAGCAGGAGGAGGAGGAGGTGGTGGAGGAGGAGGAGGAGGAGGAGGAGGAGGAGGAGGAGGAGGAGGAGGAGGGGGAGGAGGAGGAGGAGGAGGAGGAGGAGGAGGAGGAGGAGGAGGAGGAGGAGGATCAGAGGAAGAAGGAGGTCACAGGACGAGGCCCCCCCGCGCGGGGGTCGAGAGGGAGAGCGGGGGTCTGAAGCTCGAGGTTCGATGTCCGATGCTTCAGGGCTCGAGAGGACGTCTTTGGCCCTTCTGGGGGGCCCCCTCGCCGCCCCAGCCGCATCCGCCTCGAGCTCTTGGTCAGGACGGTTTCTGTTCTTGCTGTGGGCCTCCTCGCTGTCGCGGCCACAGCCGTCCCGAACTTCTAGCTCTAAATCGGGCGAATATTCAGAAATAGTAAACAATCGTCGGGGGACGATGTGTTGACCGTTTTGGCGTATTTTTGTATATGTTTAGAATATGTTTATTTCTCGTCCAAAATCGTCCTGTAGGAGGACATGCCCGACCTAATTCTAGCTGTAGCGCACCCAGTCGTCGGGGCGACCGCTTGGTTTATTCACTTTGGCACCAGCTTATTTCATTTGGAGAGGGAGGATATGGAAGTCCAGGAGGATGATCAGAGGAGCAACGCAGCGATGATTTGCCTCGACGTCCTGGTCAAAACGAGCCCCTGGAGAGGACCAAGGAATGCCGACATCGGAGGAGGGGCGAGGGAGGAATATGTCCTCCTCCTCCCTCCTCCCTCTCTCTTCTCGCTCTCCTCTCCCCCCTCCCTCCTTCCTTCTCCCCCCCCCCCTCCTCCTGACTCGCCCCCCCTCCCGCCGTCCCCGCCCCTCCCTCCTCCCCCATCCTCCCTCCTGCTGCTCCTCCTCCCCCTCTCCTCCCGCACCGCCCCTCCGCTCCCCCCCTCCTCCCCTTACAGTCGGCACATATTAGTAGGTCGGCCCTGCCAAATCAAGGGTACCCTTGTGTCCTGTGTCTCGCGACCCATGCCTCCTACATTCCTGTGGCGACGTGGCTCTTGCGTCCTCTCGCGTGTCCTTTCCAATCGAGTCCGACTGTAAGCGGTGTTTTGGCGATTTCGTGGGCCGTTTTCGTTTCGACCTCGTTCTGCGATAGAGGTGGACTGAAGACAGAACGAGGGAGAAAGAAGACAAGAAACGAAATTGCAAAGCACCGCTTAGGTTCAGCCCTGCTGCCCCGAGGAGGCGGGGGTCCAGCCCCCTCAGGCGTAAGCCAGGCCTGCCCCTCTGCAGGGGGCGGCGGCGGCGGCGGGCGGCGGGCGGCGGCCTGCGGCAGCGGAGGCCCCTCCGCGGCGGCTCCTCCACCGCTCCGCCCCGCCCTCCGCCCGCCCGCCCCGCTCGCGCGCGGGGGGCGCCCGAGGCCCGGGAGCTCGGTCACCGCCATCCTGCCGAGGCGGGCGCGCCGCCGCCGCCGCCGGCGCCCCCGGGCGCCGTGCGCTCCGCGCCCAGTGGGCGGGCGGGGCCGAGCCCCTCCCAGCCATCCGGGGGAGGAGGAGGAGGAGGAGGAGGAGGAGGAGGAGGAGGAGGAGGAGGAGGAGGAGGAGGAGGATGAGGAGGAGGAGGAGGAAAGGAGGAGGGAGGAGGAGGAGGAGGAGGAGGAGGAGGAGGAGGAGGAGGAGGAGGAGGAGGAGACACGCTTCGTGGCAGGCCCCAGCGGCAGGGCCCGCATGGCGGCACCGCCCCGCTTCGGCACACCCTCCGCGCATACGTTCCTTGGCCGCGTCGCGGCACCGCCCCCTGTTGGCACACCCCTCGCGCACTTCGTGGCCCCGGGAGGAGCTTCACCCAAGGCCTCCATGACAGCTCGGGCAGGACGAAAGTCAGGAGGGGGAAAACACACAGACACAATTAATCGTCGATCCCCAGGAGAATATGGGAAATATGGGAAATGGTGGGGAATACAAAAACCCAGAACATATAGGAAACTATGGGGAATCTTTTTATTTGTGTGTATTTATTTGTGTGTCCCAGTTTCCCTTCAGAAAGGGGGGGATTGGGAAAGGGGTGGGGACGAAATTTGCTGCATGCAGCTGGTTTCGTCTCCACCGAGGGGCCCGTTCCTCGATACATAGCCGCCTCCGGCGCAGGGAGGCGCCAGGAAAATCAGCTACGTGAGCTGATTCTCCCCCCCCCCCTTTGCAATCCCCCCTTTCGCCCGGCCCGAACAGCGTCCGCATTGCGGCGGCGCCCGCCTTGAGACCCCAAGATGCCCCTTCCTCCTCGCACTGGCCATGTTGGAGTGCACCCCGAAGAACAGAAGCAGCTACATCAGCAGACGGAAGCCTGGGGAGGTCCGCGCAGGTTCTCTGGAGACGGGAGGGGGAGTCCAGCGCCGGTTTTGGTTATTCACACGGGTCTTTGTCTGTCCAGCTGCCTGCGGCAAGACTCCGCCACCGTGCCTGTGCAACGGCGTAGCAGGAAGGAGGTCGAGTGTAGGAGTCGCGCGCATGTGGTCTGCATTCGGGCGGGTCGTGATTCCGACCTCGTCTTCGTCCGCGCGGTAGGGAGGATGAGGATGAAGATGAGGATGTGGATGGGGATGAGGATGAGGAGGATGATGATGAGAAGGAGGAGGATGAGAATGGGGAGAAGGGGGAGGAGGAGGAGGAGGAGGAGGAGGAGGAGGAGGAGGAGGAGGAGGAGGAGGAGGAGAACATGAGGATGAGAAGGCGAAGGCTTCTTGGGGCCTTCTTGGGGCCTCCTGGGGGCCTCCTGGGAGCTTACTGAAAGCTTCATGGGGGACCTCTCGGGGGCCTCATGGGGCCTGCCGGCGGCCTCTGGGGCCGTCTGAGGGGCTTCCTGGCCCGTCTTACGCCCGTGGAGGCCGCCTTGGGGGCCTCTCGAGGCCGCGTTGGTGCCCTCTTGGAGCGGTCCACGGCCGTCACGGAGCCCTCTCGGGAGCCTCCCCCCCTGGGCGATCTGTGGGTCCTCTTGGGTTGGCTTCTGGCCCACTCGGGGGCCTCTTGGCCTGTCTCGCGGCTGTCTTGGAGGCCTCTTGGAGGATTCCTGGGCCGTCGTCTTGGGCGGTCGGACACCCGAACAGGTGAGAGCCTCACAATCTTCAGGAGGAAAAGAAACACACAGACACAATTAATCGTCGATCCCCAAGAAAATATGGGAAAATATGGGAATTGGGCGGGAAGACAAAAGCTCAAAAAATATAGGAAAATATCGGAATCATTTTATTAGTGTGTATTTATTTGTGTGTCCTGGGGCCCCTTCAGTGAGAGCCTCACAATCTTTCAAACACCTACCGGATATCATTGGTTTTGGCCTCCTCGGGCTGTGCAGGTTTAGCCTCTTGGAGACCTCTCGGGCAGTCCCTCGGGGCTTCTTGTCTGCCTCTGGCTGTCTCGGGAGCCCCTTCCGCCGTCTTGGGCCGCCTTGGGCCATCTTGGGCCATCTTGTCGTCATCTTGGCTACCTTGAAATCAACAGGGAAAAAAACACACAGACACAATTAATCCTCGATTCCCAGGAAAATATGGGAAAATATGGGAATTGGGGGGGGAGACAAAAACCCAGAAAATATGGGAACATATGGGGACTATTTTTATTTGTGTGTATTTATTTGTGTGTCCTAATTTCCCTTTATGAGAGTCGTCCTTCAGGTCGCGAGGCCCCTGAGGTGGCCTCACGACAGATCAAGAGGCTCCCAAGACTGCCCAAGAGGTCCCCAAAAGGCCCTCCAGGAGATCCCGAGGAGGCCAGCACTACTGCTTGTCCTTAGATCGGTTTTGGAAGGACGTTGGGGCTGTGGCATGTTTGGGTGCCCAAGGCAGCCCAAGAGGCCGCTCTGGGCCGCCTTGTTGCTCTCTTGGAGCGCTCCAAGGCCGTCTTCGGGCCCTCTTTGGGAGCCCCTTGGGTTGTCGTTGGGTCTTCTTGG